AAATTCCCCTGCTAGGCACATGTTTCACATTGGAGAGCAAGGGAAGCCCATGCATTCTCTGCTCCACGCTTGCAGACCCATGGCCCAGCAATTTCCCCGCAGGTATACATCTGCAAGTGAAGACCGTAGTACACACAGGATTCCCCAGGGTGCTCCCAGATTGGGGACAGGCACCCGGAGCAGCAGGGGCCTAATCCTGGGGGACAATAGCTCTGAATGACATCTGTCTCCGTCAATCAATTGGATCAGCTAGGCTGGGACGCATCCTGACACAGCTGATCCCACTACCCAAATGACACCTGTTTGTAGCCTTTTTAGTGCTGGTGTCTTTTTTGGTGTTTTGCTGGCTTGAGGCATGGAGTGAACAGAGGTCTGCTTGTCAAAAGGTCCTGGGAACTCACAGTGCCTCTGACACCGATTTCCCTGAATAGCCTGGAGCATTTCACTTCCCCATCTCTTTCCTCACATATAAAATGTGGGGATTATAGGAACATCGAACTAGACTTGATTCTTAAAGAGTTAAATACGGTGAAGTATTTTGGATACGTAAAGCTAGTTCTGTGCTAAATAAAGGCGTGCAGACAAGAACGTATTTGTTTCATAAAGAATTCCCAGATTTTGATATTTCTCTTCAGTTAGGAACTAACCCACTACATTTCCACTGTCTCTGTAAGAAACAGAAAAAGTCTGCGTCAATTTTTGCTTTTTTTTTTTTTTTTAATCCAAAATTTAAAAAGAAATATTGGGACATGATTTCAAAACTAAAGCAAGCAAAATTGTTTCAAGCTTTAGGGTGTTCTCAGAAATTGTTCTCCAGTTATAGCAGAGATTACATTTCATTTAAATTGACTCCGTTTTGCTGAGTGCTTCAACTTCCACGGAGCTGCATTCTCCAGTGCTTTTTTCCAAACAGCTCTCGCGGTAAGGGATGATGGTGGTTGTGGTGATGGTGGTGTTAAATATAATGGGAGATAAAACCAGTAAGGCCAGTAAAAGCGTTAAGTGTAGCCACTGCATAGCTGTGGTCACATACTCTGAGCAGAAAATAGCAGGCAGTACTGCAGTAAGGCAGAACCCCCGGGAATCAGTCTCTGAAACCCACAGCTCTGGGTAGGTGTGTCTAACTCGATGCAGGAGAAGTGATAAAATAATGGTAGCAAAACCTAATAGATTTCCAAGGAGATTGAGCAGGAGCCACTGTAGCAGTGAGGCATAGAAAGCAAAAGTAAACGAGGCCTCATTTAATTATCTTTTTCACACTGCATTAATCACCACAAACATAGCATTACGCCTATTTTTACATCAGTGTTAGAGGTTAATACAAATGTAATTTCCTGCATTGTCTATCATTAGCAACTGCTAGATCAAGGGCTCCAAGAGCAAAATAACAAGGCTAGGGTGCTCCCTTGGCTTATTTTTCACCAAGCCCTGCTTTCCCTTTTGACCTCTGCATTTAAGTTTCCCTATCAAATCATCTGATTTCCGATGACTGTTCTCGTTCTTCCCCTTCCCCCACAATCCACCCTTGCATGTGCTGTTTCCATGACCTCTGGAGCCTCAGCAGCCTCTATCTCTGTGCAGGGTTACGCAGTCAGTCATTTCCTCCTCCTCGTCTTCCTCCTAAGGCTTTCATGACTCTTTTCTCCTTATGTATCTTTTAACTTCTCCAATTGCCTGGCCAGCATCTGTGCCAGTAGCGGTATCCTGTACCTCGTCTGCTCTCCAAGTTCCCTCGGAGATCTGTCTCTAGTCTGCTAGGATTTTCCCAGTTCTTCACCTACTGTCCCTACTCATTACACCTGAAATCAGCTCGTCTTCCAAGTCCCCAGCTCTTGGTTCTGGGACTCCCTCCCTCTCCCTTTCTCTCTTTCCAGCAGCTCATTTGGTCAGATAATGTTCATAGAAACATTGCTGAACCTGATCTTATTGTCAGATAACATTCAGACAGTGGAGGAAACTCCTTGCCTTTCTTCAAAGGGTCCTCCGTTTTTCCTCACCAGTTTCCCTTACTCCACCATCCTCCCAAGGCACCAGGTAGATAGTTTTGGTGGGTTTGTGCACACGAGATGCTATGTCACCGTAGCAGTCACATAGCGTCTAAAAAAATCCACGCGCCTCCAAGGCGGTGCAGTACCAAACGTGCAGCCCCGGGCATGTGTAGATGCGCCCTATGTTTAGTCCCTTTCTCTTTCCCTCCCTGCATCCAGGATGACTACAGTCATTCAAAAACCAGTTTATCCCTGTCCTTTCTAGTCCTCTGGCTGTGACCATTGTCCCCAGCGACACTATCCCTTACTTCAGCTATTCCCACTTCCTCCTATCTAGCCTTCTTCCTGTTTTTAACTTTGCTCCCTTTTCACGTCTGTGGAAATTACTTCTTTGGGACACATCTGCCTAATTCCTTTCACTAGCTTTCTCTTGAGCTTCATGACCTCTAGCTTCTGGCTCATTAAGACCCTGCACAAGTCTTCAAGTTTGCTGCTGTTTATGCATCTGGCTTTATTTGTTTTTCTCTCCCCTCCTTCAGCCTACTCCTTCACATCTTATGTTCCTGTGTCATGCTCTGTGTCTTGATTATTGCCATGATTTAAGCTGTAGGTCATTTCAGTGTTCGTGAAAAATCATGGCTTGACCAGGGTTTGACTCTTGGGGTGGGGAGTCTGCAAAAAAAATTGGCCTGGGTTGGGGCTGTGTGCATGGGTCTCTACCGGTACCATAGGGCCAGGGCCAGTGGTGGGGGCAGCCAGAAGGACCCGCCACCACCACCACCTGGGCTGTCTAGGGTGGGCTGAGGACTGTGCGCCTAGGTGCACGGTCTCTGGGCGGTTGCGGTGGGGGGAACCCACGTTACGGGGGGAAGGGGAAGAACTATGAATCTATGAATGTGACAACTGGCCATGAGGGGCTCTCATCTCTTATACGGGGGCTCACCCCGCTGTGCTCCCCCATAATTTGGACCCTGGACTTGGCAGACCCAAACTGAAATCCTCTGTTAAGCCTCTGAACAAGAGCATCAGAGCCATATCCAATGAATTTTGACGGGAATGACATTTTACCTGAACACAAGAGGGCCACTGGTAGGACTGAGTGAAAAGCTAACATCTCAGCAGATGCGTCTATATGAGACTTTTACTGCAGAGTTGCCTTTTACTGCAGTATTTTTTCATGCACAGCAATGCATGTGTAGATGTTGACCTGGCTGGCTGGGGCACAAGGGTGCTTCAGTGTGGGGGCTGCCTGCTGGCTAGCCCTGAATGGGAACACCCCCGTGCCCCAGCCAGCCCCTCCGCAGCACATTGAGCCAAGTCAGAGCAGCCCTGGGCTGATGCCCTGGGCCCCCTGCCAGCCAGGGCTGCTCTGTCCCAGCTCAACATGTTGTAGTCCAAGGCTCACCTGTAAATGCAATGTGTAAACCGATAGTTAATAATTCAGTGAATGGCAACAAATACTTCAAGTCAACTTTACGTTGTGGTGTGTAGGGGACCTGGATTCCTTCCTGACCTGTGAGGGCAATAAATATACATTCTGATGCACAAACATCATTTGCTTTATCATTACCTCTGCTTGCATAGCAGCTGTTGATAAAAGTGCCAGGCTCTTTATTAAAATGATGTATAGCAATTGATTTCATCTTCTGTAATAGAAGATACCAAAGACTGACTCAACTACATAACATTCACCTGCCTTTTTTGTTCCTAAAAGGTTTGACCTTTTCTTACATTGAGTGTTCTCCTTGTCTTATTTTATAGGACAAATTTAAAAAGAGGGCTCGATCAGCTTCTCTATCCTAGGTGGAATAACCCTAATCTTTGCCACTTCTTGTATTAAATCCTGCCATGTTTCTCACCCTTTTTTTGCCATCCACCTCAGATCTTTCCAATTTCCACCGTTTCTATATTGGCTTGGAGTTATGGTGGTGTTTCAGGCAAGGATCCAATGGTTCACTGTATTTTTGTTTTTTTAATGTAAGTGAAGTAACAAGAAATGGGACTGCAATCCAAACCTTCAGGATTTCCAGGGTCTTCAGCAAATAAAATTCATCATCAGTTTGCGGCACCGATTCCTATGGAACAAAGAAGGAATATATCTTTGCCCGTTACCAACCCCCTTGATTGTGATCAGTCTTTATAACCCATAGCTCTAATTGAACGATGGACAATCGACTGCATCTGTTTCTACTTTACTAATTCAATCTGCCTAGGAAAACTACCCTTGCAGGAACTTTAAAGATGAAAAATAGCACCAATTATATTCTCTAATACAATTGATCTTTAAGCACCTGTGTGTACATTTCTGATTCTTCTGTAAACTCCCAGTGCAAACACCATAAGAAGGGGTTTTATGGGAGTCTGAAAGCTTTATTTCCAAGGATAACAGCTACAGACTCCACAGGTTCAGCAGAGAAGGTAAAACCTGGTACAAAGCTAAATACAGAAACATACATGCACTGTTAAAATGCAAGATAAAGTATGTACAGATCTACATTTCTGTTCATTCCTCCAAGTCGAACCTAGCTGAATGCTCATTTCAGGTTCAGAAAGGTTGGCTTGGGGCACCAGATATAGTCTTTGGTCCAATTAGAACCAAAAGCAAAACTCTCTTCCCCCCCAAATGAAACCAAAGGGGAAGTAACTGAGAGCTCACACAAGAGTTCATGTGTTTTTTTTATGAACATGATGTGAAAGGCAGCAGATTTTTAAAGTAACAACAGGAAGTAATTTTTCATGCAATGGACCTCTGGAACCCATTGCTTCAAGATGAGACAAAGACCTGAGCAGGGTCCAGAAAAGGTTGCCTCTGAATGCTTGGATTAAAGGTATTAAATGGTAAGGATTAAAATAAGCATCTGGGAAAGATATAGAAATATCCATTTATATCTATAGAAACAGGGTTTCCATATTCTTCCTCCAGCTTCATACCATAGCCCAATCTCTAGCTAATGGAGGTTAAGCAGAAACACCATTTATGGGTAGTTTGAGGTATAACAACATAGCCAGGCACCTGGGTCCTCCTGTACCTAGGGGCAGTGGCAACTTCTGATTGCTCTGTGCTCTGGTGCAATTGTGTGGCTGCAGTAGCAGCCTTTTTTTCCACCCCTCTCCACGCCCCCACCCTCCACATCACTGGAGCAGTTGCCCTATCCATCCCACCCTAGTTACACCACCGAGTAATTTATTCCACAAATGCAGTGCTATTGGGATCTTTCACTTTCCTTTGAAGGAGGTGAATAACAGTAACTGGTAGAGGCACAAAACTGGACTAGTTATGACCAATGGCAAAGTAATTTCTAGGAAGCATTTAGGCTTTGGCATAGTCAGGTACAGCAGCCTAATCTGTAGCTTGCCCAGGGTTAGAAAAATACCAAACTGCTTCAGATTTGCTAAAGCAATGCAGCCACACCCTGAACATCTGAATCATTAATACACGTGCACTCAAGCGTATATACACTCTTTCACATGCACAGTTCTTGGCTGGGGAGATATCCCCTGTACACTCACTCCCAAGTTAGGAGGAGAATTAATTTATTAAAATAAAATATGGCTTGTGACGTGCACCAGGAATGATATAAATAAATATAAAAACCCATTTTAGAAACATGTTCTTTTAATACTAATTGGATGCAAAAAATCTTATCACATTAGTAACCTTCATACCTTTATAATAAGTCTTTTATTGTATTAGCCAGCTTGGTTTTCACTAATATGATACGAAAGACTTGCTAATATATTAGGAAAGTCACCAACACTATTAATTTACTAGATAAATTACTTCTCTATCTTCGAACTTTAAATGAAATGGAATTCACTAATCCTAATTGGTTTGCCTTCTACCGGAATTATTTCCCATTAGTTCAGCATGTTTTCTTTTTTCATACTTGAACAGAGGAGACTTCTTAAACTCAAAGCCTTGGGGTACAGTATATAGGTTTATTAATTATCAGGTATTCATTCAAGGGGGTTAATTAAGCAATAACTTTCCATTGACTGGAACATACAAAGGAATAAAAGGCTTGGCTTGACCTGCTGATTAAAGCTTTAAGACCATTGTGTCATCATTTTGTTCCATTTGGTTGTGAGGGGATAAAAGATTTTTGAAGCATTTAGCATAATTGGCTAAGAACAGTGACACCCCACTACTGTATACGGGACGTTACTCATTCGTTGATTTTTGTCCTTTTTTTCCACCTCTTCCTGACTGGGAGGGTTATGACCTTTTCTGTTGGATGTGGTCATTGCCACAATTATCCATGTCCTTTGTCTTTGTCACCTGAAGACTTAGACAACTGCAATGCAGTAAAGGAGCTCGTTCTGAAATCCACTGGGAAACTGAAGCCGATGCAGAATGCAGCAGCCTGCTTAGTAAGCAGGGAAGCTTGCTGCGAGCACATGACACCCATGCTCCACGGCCGGTACTTGGCTGCTTATTGGCTTCCAGGTGGAGTTTATGGTGTTGGCTTTCACATTTGGGCCTAATCCAAATCTCTTGGAATCAATGGAAAGATTTCCCCTCTACTTCAGCAGGCTTGGGACCAGGCCCAGAAAGCTCTAAAAAGCTTGTCTACCTGAAAGGCACCTCTCTTCCCAAGGGATGCTGGCAACGAGCAGCAACGTGTCAGCTGCAGTGTCTCTACAAAAGAGAGGACTGCTTCTGTGGGCACTGCTTTTGGCTTCGGAGCTTGCTCTCTGCCCTCATTTAGTCTGCAGTCACCTGAATCTGTCAGCTTTTAGGGTGTATTGTTGAGACCATACACCGGGGACCTTTGGTGCCACAGAAATGGCATGGCAAGTCTGGCTGGGAACAGGGCTTGCCTGGGGTGCCCATATTCTTCCTCGAGTCCCACCGTGGTAGCCACCTCCCGTATTAATTATAGCAGGTTTTGGAGGTGCTTGGAGTTGCGCTGGGAAACGGCACGTGTTGTGCCCAGCTCCCAGCTGATCCAGATGTTGAGGAGGCAGGTCTGTTTTTGTACTGCCCACGCCCTGAATTGCTGTGCCAGCCTTCTGGCACGGCCAGGTCTGCTTTATTCAGGCTCCAGAGTCTGTGTGGAAAAGAAGTTAGTGGTTGGGTCTATCTGGCAGAGGTACATTTTGCACTAGGCAAAGCTGTCTGGAACTACTGCTTAAAATTAGCCTTGCCCCACTGAGTCAGCGCATCCTGAAGCCTTAGCACATCGCTGCCCAAGGGAAGCACAGCTCAGTTTGCACCACACCCAGAAGGAGTGGCCCGAGGGACCGATGAACCAAGTCATTGCACATAAGAGGAGGGTGGGGGTGGCAGAGCAGCAAGCTGGGAAGAGGGTAATGATAATAGAGAGAAAGGCAAGTTCTTTTTTCAAGCAAGCCTTCACACGCTTGCTTGTTTTTATTGTTCTGGTCACTGCGGTGAACGTCAGTGTGTCATGCAGACTTCAGACCAGGAGTCCCCTCTTGTATTTCTGTAGTAGACACTGCTGCTGAGCCACTCTCTGTGGTGGTCACCATACCCTCTAGGCCATGTCAGAAACTCTGGAAGTCAGGCAAACCAATGCACTTCCCTATGAAAGTACTCAGCTCTGCCCACGTCATGTTTTTTTTTTTTTTGGTTTGGTTTTTTTCAATATATCTAACCAGCTCTTCAGCTCCCCAGCAGAGCTGTGAATCCTGCATCACCTCAGCCAGAGGGAGTCTGTGGCCAAAGGAAAATAGTTCAAATCATCAAAGACAACCTGTGGGATTGTCTCAAGCGCTTGTTATCATATATGTATGCACACATGTAAGTACACCTATCTACCCCCCTGCGCCAGATGACTTGCTTTGGCTTGCTTGCCAGCCTGAGACGCAAAGCAGGCGACCCAGCTGAATTTGGCACCTGCAAGGTAACGAAGACCATGCAAAATTCTGAATGGGAGCATGTCTTAGGCTAGAGCTATATGGAGTTGTCCAAGAGTGATTATTACATGGGGTCATTAGCATTTCCACTGACCCAAGACACGAACACTAGAATTGCAAGAGTGCGAATAATCTGGGGGGGAACGATTTGCTCTCTGCAATTTGTTTTTCCTTTTTTGGTTTGTGGGATGCCTACCAGCTGCTCCCAACTGGCTTGCCTTTCTCCCTTGTGGGAGGGGTTCATCTCTCATTGCAGGGCTGCGCACTCCTTTACTTCCTCTTTAGGCTCTCCAAGTAGCACGTGGCTTGGTGCTGAGTTGTTAACTGGAACGTATACGTCATGCAGAGCGTATGCACTGCCCCTCTTCCAGCAGGTGCTAACTGGCTCATTTAATTGCTTCTGTGTTGGGACTCCAGGAGCTGTGTCCCTTTGCTAGGTTAGGCACTGTCCTACCCCCATCCCCTACACCATACACCCAAGCGCATTATATTTATTGCTCTGTAATTTTTGGATATCACATATAATATAATTGTGCGTGCGAGTAGTTCTCCCCCTTGCTAAGGGTGGGGGCTGCAGCCTTGTCAGGCTCATTTATTAGTTGCCTTAGTGCCAGGAGAAATGTCTGAGAACTCTTGTTCCTGTAGTGAATCAGGTAGCTAGCCCAGGCTATCTGAAATGCGCCGGAGGTAGAGAAAAAAGCAGGTATGCATGCTTGAAATTTGGTAGATGCAAGCACCAAGCCTGCCAGTTTGCACTAGCGCAACTGGAGCAAGCTCAGATTGAAATTCAAGCAAACATTTGTGCAGCATTTTTTTTTCCAGTATTCACACAGGTATTTAGGGCGAGTGAAAACATTCGTTCACTTGCCTTCGCCTCTGAGCGATAACAAGTGGCACGTAGCCAGGCTGCTGTGCCTATCATCTCCTTCTTGGATTTGCAGAAATGTTCTTAAGGGCAGGTACAATTCTCTGACGAGGTCCTTGACCCCGAAGTGGAGGCATGAGGGGGCCTTTAAGGAGATGGAAATTGTCTGTACAGAATGCATGTGGAGGCTGTAAGATCAGGGCAGGTGATGCTATGCTTCACCTCTCACAGTCTTCCCCGGGTATGTTGGGGGTGTGGCTAAGCATGGGAAAAGAGGCAGAACAATGCAAGGAAATTTCAGTGCATGTAGAGAAACCCCATTGGCTACTC